AGAGGATATTAAGGCCAAACTACACATTACCCACATATGTGTATTTCTTTCTGCTGTCAGTATTTTCTTTTCTGTAACTGAAAAACAGCCTTAGAGGCAACCTTTGGTAGGAGAACAGCAGTGTGGGGAGTGAAGAGTGCTGAGTTTTTTCACTCCATCTTGTTTGTTGTCTCACAATTGCTCCACCACCCCCAACTGCTTTTCCACCTGTGTGGGAATAAATATGAGGAACACACTTGTGCAAGTGTGATCTTTAGCAAACAGCAAACAGTAATATGATTAAATACCTTCCATCCCCACAGCCCCCATGCCTGGCTGCACTTCCATTCCCAATGCCAGCCTTGAAGACTGCTTTTCAGTTGTAAGCAAAACTCTTAGAAGCACACAAGCACAAATAATAGGTGATGTAGTTTCCATTGTAAAGATTCATTCAGATATTGACCATGATCCAGTAAATTGCAAAACTGTGCAGCTTACAGTATGAGTTATGACAATGCCGGGATCCATGCTCACATGGAATGTGAACAAAAACTGCAGCGGTTAATGAACTCCCAGTGCTCTTGTAGTCTAAAGATTGCTGGATCGTGGACTATGCTGAAACAGGATGCATTCTTTGACAGTCATCAATGGAAATCATGTATCCTAGTAGTTTGCTGTACCAGAGCCATTACACTGAACGAATGAACCCCAAGGGCATGTGTGTGCATGAATATTATTACAAACTGCATTTCTTTCCTAAAATCACGATCTTCCTAAGTATTTAAATTTCCCAAATTGTACCAGCTTAAATTTGATATAAATATTACTGTTTTTTAAAACACACACCTTCAGTTCTTAAGTTTGCAGATAGTAGCCAAGAACATGAATATTTCAATTTTTAAAACACCTTTTGAAATGTCCTCATTGCAAATACTGCACATATCGTCTTTGTGCTCTGCAGTCAAACTGGACAATGGAACGACCACCTGTTAACTGCTAACAACATGTCATTACCAGTTCTCATGCCTTTTTAAAGCAATTTTGGCTCTCACTGCCGATAATTCTGGCGACGATACTGGTGTGAACATTAAGGGCATAGAAAGCCAAAGGCAGAAAACTGACAATACAGTTTGTGCTTTGACTACTAATAAGTAAGCGAATGCTAACATTTTTCTAATTCCACATAATTACTGACTCTCAAGGGGCCAAAGGAAAATTCCAAATACATATTTCAAGGCAACTTGATCTACAGTATTTAAACATATACAAAGCTTAAATTAGTGCAATTTCGTATTGGGTTGTTTCTACGTTTAAAAACAAAGTTAAAGCATGACAAGGGCTTCTCGCAACTTTTTGTAGTTCAAGTGCTGGGTTGCATGCTAACTTTATATCATTGGTGGGAACTTGATCTGTCTTCTAAATCATTACTGAAGAGATGCTAGAATTATGATGCCAAGAAGCATAAAAGACAACAACAAATGGTGAGACAGCTTAATGGAATCCTGCCAAAAAAGTGGCAAAGAGGTAGAGGCCCTTGGATTGTATCTGTTCACCATGAGCCATTTTTAACTAGGGTTGAACAAAGCAATGATAAAAGGAGCTTTACCAAAGCTGAAAAGGAGTAAGGTGCACATCAGGCACAAAAGAGTAGAGAAAACTTGTGCTTGCTACAGTAATAAAAACATTCAGTTTTATTTCTAGAGGGATATGCAACACTGGGATATTCTGTCCATAGGATGATAGTCCTGTTTATTCAGCTATGGATATCTAAATTACCTATCACCATAGGTATAGTGAACAGCTGTTGCCTTCATAGGCTGCTATCATGTGGTTTCTCCCTCCTTCTCCAGCAAACTCGATTAGACATAGAGTCCCTTTATTAAAACTTAAGATTATACATTATACAAAAGAGTATAATTCAAGTCACATTCTCATTTTGATGTGAGAAGCATCTGCCCAAGCGAAAAGCTGAAACCAAACTGAAGCATTCCTTCTTTCCCTCCCTTTCAGAAAGATTCCAACTCCACCCTCAGGATGGCTTCTGCTGCTTGAAGCTCAGAGGATGGGCATGTCAGCTATTTCCTAGTCGTTCCACTCATTTCCTCTGTCATTCCTTGACAGGATCAAGGAACTTCCCCTGCATATCCCCTCTCCCCCAGTTCTTAAATGACTCCCTCCTTTTCCAAGTTTGCCTGGTTTTCACACTCTGAGGATTTTCACCAGGTAACTTTGAAATGGTGGCAACATCTGACCAACTCCCCCCTCCACCTCCTCCACAGCATTGGACAAATTGATTTGAGCAGACTGTAATGTGCAAGAGCTGGGCTCATTTCTGCATCTATTATTTATTTATTAAATTTATATCTCATCATTTCCTCCAAGGAACCCAAGGCAGCACACATTTTCCCCTTCCTCTCCATTTTATCCTTACAGAAAGAGATAGGTTAGGATGAGAATCAATGACTAGCCAAAAGAGACTTAGTCAGCTTCATAGCTATGTAGGGACATGAATATGGGCCTCCCAGGTCTAGCCCAATACTCTAACCACTACATTAACTGCTAATAAATATAAACTCTGTAGTTGCTTCTGGTTAGAAACTGCTAGAAAACAAATGTGGGTGGGTGTCTTTTACAGCTATTCTAATACAGCTATATTGTACTAAAGTAATAGTCCTACAATGTGGTCTTCACTGACGCTATTTGCTTCCAAACCGTTCCTGATGTATCTGTTCATTTGCTGCTTCAGGGAGTCAATTTCCTCACAGGGGGTAGTTTGCATAGAGCTCTGTGATAATAAAAATCAGTTGTCTATCCATCTGATAGGTGATTTCATCTGTTTGTGTGCAGTACATTGAACTGGTTTAATAAGAACCATGTACCTTTAGGAATCATATACCAGGTAGTCCAGCATTCTGTTTCCCACAGTGGAGAGCAACTAGGCCTGCTGAAAACTAAAACTCTTTTGGGGAACATAGAAATTATGTATTGTGAGAGATTTTAGGTACCCCTTCTGCCTTCTTGCAATGGCTTCCGACATCCAGCAGAAGAGAGTTGTATTCTGCTCAACCCATCCTGGTACACAGCAAACAGGAATCTAATGGGAAGGTCCCCGTTTACTGCTTCAGCACCTGATGTACACCAGCCCCACCCATGCCATAGCCATACTGGCCTCTTTTCCAGCAAGGGACGTGGTTTTCCCAAGCTCTCTGCTTCCTTTCACACCTATAGTGTCATAAACACTGGCTTGACTCATACCAGACAGGAGATGGCCAATAACATTTGACTTGCTTTCTCAGTTATCTTGTCTGGTAGGCACAAAAGACTGGTACAGATCTGAAAGTTTTTATTCAGGCTGGCCTCTTATCTAGCCTTGCTTAGTCTCATCCTAATCAGAGGGCTTGGTGTGTACCCTGGATGTCTGGGATATTTCCCTATCATCTGGAAGAGGAGTAGAGAACAGATCTTTTTTTTTGGGGGGGGTGGGGGGATTGTACTGGAGGACATCAGTTGCATAGCCATAAACAAGGCTATCAGTCATGCTGTAGTTACTCAATGGGACCATGTGACACAGAATGTAGACATGCCTGGTATTCTAGGTCCAGAAGTGTCCATCTTTCCGAGGTCAGCAATAGTGTCTGAATAAATGGTGTTCAAATAGATAAGTGGACATATCAGATGCAGCTAGATTTGGTTGTGTAGTATGCTGGGGAAGCTTAGGCACCTGCCTCCTGTGGTATCTGAGCCATTGGACCAGTTATATTAATAAAAGTTAAGGGACTTGAGTGCTCTTTTTCCAGCTGGGGAACCCAAATAAAGATTTTATGATGTAAAATCATAAAGGGTTCAAAGACCCTGCCCAGCTTGGAGCTGGTGTGCCTGTCCATGCCCAGGATGCACAAGGTGCCTGTTATTGGTTTATACCATGGTTATAAAACAGGTCCAAGATTCCTGTTTCTCCCATCACTGATATCCTAGTTTGTGACTGGGAGGGTGATATCAGCTTGACTGAATCTTTGCTTTATGCTTCACAAACTCTGTGAGCTGTAACCAATGAGAAACCAAGGAAAACCAATGCCCACTTCTCTCCCACTAGTTTCTGAGTAATTACTGCTCCCTTTCCCCACCATTCCCTATCACTGACACAAGAAAGGACTTGAAAATGACCACTGCAATGCCTACAAGCCTTGTGAGAACACTGTATCTTAAATCAACCGACAGAATGTGAACTGAATGACCCTGCCAAATATCAAACATATTTAAGTAATGTGGGTTGTATTGACCAACTGGCTATCATTTTCTTACCCTTCTCTCATAAGACTAGAACTGGTGATCAACCAATGAAGTTGATTGGCTAGTTTCAGAACAGTCAAAATGAAGTGCTTCTTCACACAGTTAAATTAATTTAAAAGGAAATGTAACGAATGCATGGAATAGTTATGTTGATGGCTATATACTACCTCCAGGATCAAAAGCACCATGCTTCTGAATACTGGTCAGTGGGCAGCTTTCATGTGACTTGTAGGCTTCCAACAGGCATCTGGTCACTCACTGTGGGAAACAGGATGCTGGGCTAGAGAGGGTTTTGATCTGGCTCAGTAGGATACAATTTATGTTACTTCAGTTATCCAAAATTCTTCCCTAGTCAAATTCATTTTATGAGCTCATTCAGCCAGTTCATGTGCATAAATATATCTGATTTTCCTGTCCATGTAGAAGAAGCTACAAGCTCATGTTACTCACAAGCCCTCCAAAATAACAATGTTTGTGCACACAGACCACTTCCATAAACAGTTATTTGTGCACCAAGGCCAGCTGATATTTCTTCTGCCTGAACCAGCTCTAAGTTTCTCTTTGGGTTCCATGTTACTATACTACATGAAAAAGTGCTCTCATTTAGCCCTTTGTCTTCTTAGGCAAATGCTTTGGATGCCCTCCAAATAACTCAGATAGCTGCCTGAATCACATTACAACAATCATGCTATGACTTAATATTTCTTTAAATAAACACCACAAGAACTTACTTAAAGACCTTCGGTTTTCTGGCTTTAGTTCTTTAGAATCAACATCAAAGTTGCCCAGCATTTCTGAACTAGAGGATCTTGTAATCTTGACCTCATTCTTCCTTGATGTGCCACTCTTCTCTTTGGGCTAGAAGAGGAAAATGAATAATGAAAGATATAAAATACAATGCTTTAAAACAAATAGTTGATTCAAACCACCGAATGGCAATAAAGAGTTAGAAAAAGAGTATAGATTCATCCCACTTGACAAAAGAAATATTTATGTTCAGAGAACATGATACAATGTGTATTTAGTATAAAGTTCCTAAAACAGATTCATTAAAATTTCAATGTAATTCTTCAAATAAATATAAGAAATGGAGACACATTGGAGACTTGTATATTAAGCACAGTTATTTGAAAATATTAATCAATAAGGGCTTTTTCTCAAAATGATACATTAGGATCCAGTTCGTCATATTAATGGGGCACAATCCAGCAACTCTTGAGCACGTTAAAATCCAATTTCAGTTGAAAGGTTGAGGTAGAGTCCATGGAAATTAAAAGAGCTTAACTTTAGTGGAATTACTTAATTGGATATTTTTCCCTTTTGTGAAATGTTCTTCTTGACACATTTTTCTTTCTAGATATTTGAATTTATTGTATGACTAATGTTCAAACCTCATGTACATTTACCTGGGAGTAAGGCCCGTTCAATTCTGCTGGAATTACTTTTAAGATAACATCCATAAAAATAATGTTTATGTATATTTTAAAGATTATTACATAACTTGACTTCAGAATGACAGGGTTATATTCAGGTTGTAGTTTCTTACGTGTTAAGTTATAACTGACAGCTAGAATATACTTATTTCACATTTATCATGCTGTTTCTCTGAAGATCTTAAGGCAGCGTACATAAATAGTGAGAGAAACTGACTTTCCTAAGGCCATCCAGAGCAAAATTGGAATCCTGGTGTTTGCACCTGCAACCTGAAACTACACTGATGTATATAAGAACAAAAGATTCAAAAATTCATTCAGATCTATAGACTGATTTATACATGGATCTCTCTTCCACACAAAGGCTGTCCATTCATTCTTACAGTGAAAGAGCAAGAAAGATTTGGGTGCCACAAAATGCAGGCATGCTTTTCCTTATTCTGTTACAATGAATGAGGGAAACATAGGCTGTGTTCAGAGAACAGGCTCTGTTGGGCAAACATGATAACCCACACTCTAAAGTTGAGCATAGGTTGAGTGTGATTTGTTGTTTCCTGGGTTTTTGCTGAAATGTGGGCTATCATGTTGTCTGAATCCTAACAAATGTCAGGTTTTGGGCAGCCTCAGTCCCAGACTCTGCTGCAGCTGTCAGGACCTTCATGGGCATTACCTGGAAGTCCCGGAGGGAAGTGGTATTTAAGAAGTGGGTCTTCTCTCCAGAAGCTGCCTCAGCAAAACTGGCCCCAAGTGTCTGAAATCAGTCTCTGTGCATTGTATCCCTCTCCTGGATCCTTCTGTTTTTCCTGCTCCTGTTCCAAGGCACCTATTCCTTCATGCTGCCTTTCTGGCTCTGGACCTTTGACTATGCTCTTGCTATTTGGACTACACTGTGTTTGCTTCCTGTTTGCTCCTAATTTTAACCTTGGCTTGTTCTGGATAACAATGTGGATTTAACTGGTGACTGGACTTTGGCTTATTGACTGTGTTTCCTGGGTCCTGGTGCCTCTGTCTAGCATCCCACCACCTATGCCCTGAACCTGAAAACAAACCATAGTTTACTAGAGAACCCACAATTTATTGTTGGGTTGTGAACCATGGATTGTTTTGGTTAATGAATTATGTTTATTAACACAGCAGGGTTCAGACAACATGATGAAGCATATTTAATACCCATGGTTCAATGACAACATGCACTTAAGTGTGAGTTATCATGTTGTCTGAACCCAGTCGCATTGGGTGGGCTTGCCCACATGATATCCACCCTGGCAAAATGTGATAGTGCACTGTTTGTTCCAAAAACAGCCCACTCTGTACACAACAGACAACTGGATTCACCATGGGCTGTCATGCCATCCAATCCCCTTGATCTACCAGCCAGTATCAGCCTCTCACCCTATCACAACCAGGAGCTGTTTTGGCTCACTGTGGCTTTTTGTTTCCTTTTTACCTCCCCAACCAGTTTTTGGGAGATTGCTCTTCATGATAACTGTTTTGACTGTCCCTTAGAGCCCCTTTGGAGTGCCCAAGCTGTGCACTGGAGATGCTGAGAGTGGGTCACCTGTGTTACTGTTGCACCTCGAATTTGTGCAAACAGTTTTGTAGAATGTTTTTAAAGATTGGCTGGCATGGTGGAGCTTTGGACGTACAGTGTGTGGTTTTCTGTGGGTGCGAACATGCAAAGCCTGGCCCAGGTAATGTCCTGGGAGTTACCTACTGTCAAAATGCAGTGGTTACCAACCACGAAAATTAATTCAAAAGTCTTTGGTTGGCTTTAAAATGGGAGTTGGTTAATTCATGAAGGAGAAAGCTATCCAAGGCTACTAGACCTGAAGAATATATGCTATCTCCAGTATTAGAGGCAGTATGCCTATGCATATCAGTTGCTGGGGACTTGGGTGAGAAGGTGCTGTTGCACTTATGTCCTGCTTGTGGGATCACATAGGAAGCTGGTTGGCCACTGTGCAAAGAGAATGCTGCTTTAGATGGACCTTGCTTTGATGGCTCGTCTTATGATATGAAGTTCCCAATAGGTTCTCCCTGCTTTGCACTATGCTTTGTCTTAACAGCTGTCACAAGAGATGTCAATTTAAACCATGGATGTGATTGACCTTTGCTCACCCAAAGTAGGTGGAAACATTTATCTTCCCTTTGTGCTGGGACTTTTAGTGTTGTTTTTGTTGTTATTTCCTGAGAGCCAGTGTGGCATAGCAGTTAGTGTGTTGGGCTGGACTTGGGAGATTGGGATTCTAGAAGCCAGACAACCATGATCCTTGCTGGGCCAGTCAATGACTATCATTGCATTCTTGCAGGGTTCTTATGAGGATAAAATGGAGAGAGCAGGAAGAGTGTGTAAGTTGCCTTGTGTTTCTTGTAGGAAAAAATGACAGGGTATAAATATAATAAATATATGGGTCCCATAGCCTTTCCATCCATTACGAAGATTGTACTTACTAGGGAATGTGGCAAAGAGTAGACTCCATAGTTTTTTTTTTTTCCAGAAAGGTTCCATAGTTTTTATGGTGTTTTTAATATGCTTTAATTTATATATGTTACATTGTATTTTTAAATATGCCACTGTGAACCACCCAGAGAGCTTCAGCTATTGGGTGGTATAAAAATTAATTAATTAATTAAAATAAATTTCATCTGTCCCTGAAAAAAATACAATGGGAAAAGGTTTAAAAGAAATATCTTTTAAATAGAACCTCAGTGCTCTAGGAACCTCTGAGTAGGCTGCACTTTTCCTTATTCCTGAGCACTTGGAGGCTCAGGAATGGATGCAAAGTGTGAGGGCATTGGGGACTTATCAGGGAAACACCCCTCCAAGGATCCTACTGTGAATGGAATAAATTTCTCTACTCTTTTTTTACAATCAAATATCATTCATATCTTTGCTTTGAATTGACAGCTCTGATGTTGACAGATGTCAAATCACATCAAAGTATTAAAAATCCCCTATTGGAAACCCTTCTGGGTCAATGGTCATGATTAATGAGGTGCCCCTGAACATGACACAAGCAAGGCTTCCCATGTGTGCATCTGCATAAATCTGCACACATGCACATACAAAACTGTGCAATCCTGCCTATTTTAAAAGAAAAAAAAACCGCACACTTATGAAGCAGAAAAAGGAAGCAGTGAACCAGTGACAACCCCTCCAATTTGTCACTGGGGCAAATTGGTGCCCCAGGGTTGGTGCAGGGTTGTCAACGGCTGTCCAAAGCAAGATCATAAGTAGTGATCTCTGAGGATATTGGAAAGGGGGATAATGCAACAGGGAAAAATTAGTCCCATTCATAATGCAGGGGTGGGGAATGTGAGACAGAGTTATTTATCCTCCTTGGGCTTCGGTGAAGAGGCTGACTAAGTGTGCCCAGCAACACTGAGAAGGGATTGTTGCTGCTGCTGCTCTTGTCAAGCATTTTGCCACTGCCCACATCTCACAGTGGGGATGGTCATGTAGGTTCAAATGCCAACCCATGATGGGTGAATGAAACCCCACTACAGACTATGCGTTCTCAGGCTGGCTTGTTGGAGGAAAAAAAGAAATTGGTTAGATGACATCCATTTTAGGTTGTTACACTGGGCAAACCAGATCTATTGGAAAAGTTACATGCATATATTTAAGGACAAATGAAGTAATTCAAATAAGCCTAGGGAAATTTATATTCCACTGAAAAGTCCCATTAGTGGATCTACTGGAAGATTTAACTCATTTAGTAGCTCGTATAAGTGGCTGCAGATATTCTCCAAATGAGGAAAACTGGAGTACTGCATACTTCTGTTCAACTAACCTCCATTAAGTTCCATGAAACTTACTTCCAGGTAAATGGGTATAGGATTGAAGCCTGAAATTATTGCTTAGATAGTCTTCACTGATTGCAGAAAGAATTTTTTAAAACTCTTTCAATACTACACTGCTATAGGACTTTCCATTGTAAAGTGTTTTACTTTTCTTATCTTTTTCAATTGTCTATTACTGTTTTAAAGAAGTGAATAGACATTAAAATGCCACCACAGTAGTCTCTGTAAGGTCTAATTAAAACTGCAGCAAACAAGGGTTACTCTTCTCAAAACTAAAAAGGATATCTATCCTGCACAAATAGTTCTAGGAAAGCAGAATAATTAGGAAAGCAGAAATGTGAAATGTATACTAAATGTGGTGAAAAGCATACACAGAAAAACATACACGGAACTTGAGAGAGAGAGCAATTAAAATGGTTGTCAAAAAGTACAGCCCTAAAAGATGAGCAAGAGGGAGGGAGAAATAACAGGAATCAGATACAAAGGAACATTTGTTAAAATTATTATAGTAAATTAATAATATGAAAATGCATAAAAGACTCAAATATAGTAGTAATCCTGCTGAAGATTATATACTGTAGACAGCATAAATAAAAAGTAAAAGTCATTAGTTATTCAGTGCTTGTGTGATTTTACAAACCACAGTAAACTGAGATTGTGATTATTTCATAGCAAAAATGCACCAGTTTGCTTTTGAACAGAATCAAACAGAATTTTAGTCAAGCAACCTCATTTGATATTTTAAATAATAGACATACAAATACTCAACATTGATTAATGATGCTGGGTGACTTTTTAACTTCATGTGCTATCTTCTTTAAAACCTGCATAGACATAGAGGCTCATGAAACTTAGACATTTGCATGCTAATTAATAAAAGTAACAGGTAAAACAAATACATACCAATCTATCAATTGCATTTTGGATAGCTTGGAACCACCCTGTTATGATGAAGTCAATATCTGATTGCAAAAGCACCTCATTTCCTGATAATGTCGTGATCTAAAAGACAATGAGAAAAAATCATGTGTATATATTTTATTTTGAAGTAATTAATTTTGGAACCCATCTTAACTTGATTTTTTGAAACATCCTTAATTCTTGTACCCATCAAAATTAAAATGAGTCTGTAGCTTTTCTTAAATTAAGGAATTTCACACACACACTACTCTGACAAGAATAGATCCAATCCATAAAAGACAAAGTTCATATTTCTAAACTTTTGTTCCAGGACTGTCTTCATTACTTGTCAATGTAAAGCTGTCAATCAATCCATAGACTGGACATGCTGCTACTAAATGTGCTGAAATCAATTTTTAGAATAGATTGCCTAGACTTAGAAAGCAAGTCTAATGTGGAATCTGCAGCTGAATTCATAGAAAGTCAAATATATCTGAATCCACTGCAGATTTTTCAGAAATCTGCAATAAATATTAATTGTCCTTCACAGGCAACAGATTTGAAACTTTAGCTTTTAAGTTGCATTTCTTTAGTTGATCTATGAATTTCTAGTTTTGACTTCAACATTATTGTAACAAGGTCTTTGCTCCTTCCCTCTCTTTGATCCAAAATGTAATCAAGCATACAATACTATTTAAGTTTACAGAAAGTATGGAGTAGGAGACATACGGTATACTCACTTTTGTATACAAAAAGCTGCCTACCTTTGCAATCTTACAGTTTTCATCATTTTAAAGGAATTCCATTAAGCTCCATGGAATTTTAGAATGAGCCAACTAGTTTACTTTTAAAAGACAGCATATAGGTCAAGAATATTCCTCAGCACCTCTGTCACTAGAAACTTAAAAAGCCAGACAGGAAACAAGAGCCAAAAAGATGACGGTGTGTGTGGGGTACATATTGCACTTGCTACAGGGATGGTGGCTAATATCTTGTTCTCATGACAGATGGATCCCATCCCAGGCATCATGTCTAGAATTATTTACTGCACGATGATTCACAGTGCGATCGGACTGATCCGTGTGATAAATCTTCTTGACAGTATGGCTAGAATTGGGTTCGCTTGCCATAGGGAGGCCATTTTGCTGGCATCCCTGGGAAGCCTAAGGTGATCTGGAGCTAACTCTTGTGAAATCAAACTTGTTCTTAAGCTCCACATTACGTATTACTTCATTCCAGGTGTTTTGATCCTAAGGGTCTATTTCAGTGCAATGCTTTACATTTACAGATTTGATGTGTGAAGGGAATTCAGATGTTTCTGTCAGCAAGCTCATTTTTTAATCAATTATGAACCCATTTTCTCTTCTACCTGTCATCTCTGTTGCCAAGTGTCAGAACAATCTAAGATTTTATTGATTATTTCCAACCCTTCCTACCTTGAGAAAACCAACAAGGGTCCTAAAGTAAGTAACAGCTATAACTTAAAATAGAACACATTGAAAATACTCATGGTACCAAGCCTGGCAATGATTCCACATTAAAAGATTCTTGCACTTCTTTCTGTTAGTCATCTTTATTCCAGAATCTCCACTGCTCGTGGCTGGCTAGTAGATAAATTACTAAGGTTGCGCTCATATGCACATATTCTTGGTAGAAAGTGCAGTTGGACTTATTTCTGAGACACCCTGCACAGGATCAGCCTGTATGGAGCTTCACAGTAATTAAGGATACTTTGTAAGGACAAACAATAACAAGGAACATTTAGGTCCCACCCAAAGTATTTCTAGGCAGGAAATATTGATCTCACCTTGTCCAATTATATTAATCTCCTGTGTAAATCTCAAGGCAGCTGTTGAATATGTCAGCTGTTCATATATATTATACACACACACATACATACATACATACACATATACATATATACACACACACACATATCTCTATATTGTATAGATATGAAAAATATGTATATAATGGATACTAATGTTCTGGAATAAGAGACAGATTTTTTTGGGAGCTGGCCACTTCTGTGAGTATCCATGTCCCAGCAACAGTACAAAGGTAACTGGCTGATGGCGACTCTCTGTAACACTTTTCCTGTTTACAAATTTTCATTTTGGGTGGGTTTCAAATGTTTACTATAACACTGCAAATGTATTAATGTGCACTGAGAGAAATGAATTAGACTAAACACAATGGTCAATCCAATCTAGTATATCTCTTCTAGTACAAACAAACCACCACTTAAATTATAACAAGAAATAATATTTTCAAAGTAAAAGCAAGACACATAATTAGAGTGACTCTATTTTGAAGGCTTAAGAAGGAAGCAACATAGTTCACTCTTCCGTTGAGTAAATTTGAGCTTTATTAAAATACAAGTATTTCAGTATTGCATAAACATTTTACCCTTATGATATGTAAAAGAGATACTTCAGTGCTAACAAGACCAAAGCAACATTCATTTTGAAAGTGTCTTTGTCTTAATGTGCTGTTTGTAATAATCATATATAATCGGTGATGTATGAATATATCAGAAAAGTAGATCATAGAACAGGGAGAAGTGAATTCATTCAAAATATTCTGTGTTTGAGATACAGTTCAAGTCCCTTTCTCTATAATCTTCAGAGTTACTAGACAGTTTCAAGAAGACTGCTACTGCTCTCTACAGTTTAAATGCATCCACTTCTTAATTAAGTCAGTAATTGACTTTGTTCTGCTCTGTCCTAAACATACAGAGTGAAGCAGTTCTGGAGGCTTTGATTGGTGAATTACATTAAACTGTAGGTTTCTGAGTCACTTTTATATATTTCCTACTTGGAAGGTCTGATTAAAGGTTCTTGGAAGGAATTGTTAAAACCATATTCGCATCTGTAACAATAAAATTTTAAGATCATTTGGAAAAGAATTTCTAGAAAAAAAATGTCAAATTTGACTTGATCCATTGACAGTTGCAGCCTTAAATAAAGTATTACTAAAAAGCAAGCATGATGTCTCCATATTAAGGGAATTTTGAACATCTTGGTTATCAACCATGAATAAGAAAACATAAGAACTAGAGAGACATGAACACAAAACTTGCAAACATCTCCAGGAAAAGCAGCTGCTTTTTATGTTGCTTGTATTCCCTTCTTTTTACTATATGTAAAAAGATACCACCAGTTTAGCTGCATTTCAGTTTTCAAGTCCATAACACAGTCCATGACTAACCACATTTATACAGAAGTGGCTTGTTTATTTATTATTTATTTAAGCAGTGTCTCTATTGCTTGGCATCCCAAGATAGCCAAGCAGTTTACATAAAAACATGATGATGAATTAGTGTTCTCAGTAGTAGACCGCTAAAAGGAATGAAGAGCCTGCACTATACTCTGGCTTTAATTCAAGCATTCATTCAAACAGGTGGTTCTGAGTCAGGGCTCCCATATCCTTCTTCAGGCTCTGACACCGACTCACTAAATCCATTGGCAGTATGTGGGGAAGTAAATTAACAGACTGGATCCCCTATTATGCTCTTGATTTCTGAAATGCTTTGGAAATGTTTGCAAGATGGTACTGGTATCTATTTGATTAATTTCTGAATCGGTCACGCAATGACACCCTCTATTCATGAGCTGATATGACATAGTTATTTCTTAATTTTAAAGTGGATTCGGGCATTCCTGACATTCCCCCATGCTGGACTCCTGCCCTTGTTGATGTCCCCTCTTTTATTAAGTTTCTCCTCCTCCCATTCCAAATGTGCAAGAAAGGGCAAAGCAGGAGAGGGGCCAGGAAAACATCTAAATATGTTGAAATATATACAGACATGCACAATGGTGAAACTGAGCACTGAAAACTCTCATTTGCTTTCTTTCTCACCACTGGATTTCCTCAACCTCTTCCACTTTCCTTTTCTTTTTCAAAACAGAAAACAAACAGGAACAGAACCATGAGAGAAACACCCAAGCAAAGTATTCAAATAATCCAGAATTTCCTTCCTTGCATGTATCACTGAAGTTCTAGAATCCATCTTGCTCGCCCTCTCTCCCTTCCCTATTACAAAACCCAAGGGAACTAGGAGCCAATTAACAGAAAACACATAATAAGACATACGACCAATAGCTTTCGTACAGACTAATGACTCAGCCCATAAGAACTTGAGAAGAATCCTGTGAAGGCAGCCAAAGGGCTATCAAGTATAGAATCCCATTTCCCAAAGATGGGAGCCCATAGAAAGGACATGAGGGCTGTTTTCCCAGCACATGATACTGGATGGAGGCATGGCGAGACAACCTTCACAAAAACTTGGGGTACTATTTGATTATTTCTGCAATTGCAAAGAAACATTTGTTCACTTTCTGTCCAAGGGAACTTTTCAGAAGCTTGGAGCTTCTGAGACAAAGTTTGCTTAAGATTTGTTGGCTTTTCATCATCCTCTTCTTAGAATAGGCTATGGGTACCAAATCCCATGGTGACTAAAATTTTGTGTACTGCATTCTGGAGTACATAGAGCACATTTACTTATTTTACGTGATTTATCTTGCTTGGCAAACTATGTGGAAAAACAAACTACTGAGGCAACTGAAGCTTCTGTTATTTACTGAAAATTCTGGTTAGGCCACATTCTGTTTTGTGAGACTTTGTATCACCAGTCATTATCCATATACCTTCAACTTGTATTAGCAGCTTTAAGAACTGAACATCTGTTTTAACCCCTTCCCCTCACCACAAGGCATATTACTCAGGATAATGAATTAGGCACCATTAATGATCTATGTTCTCATTTGGCCACCTAATGAGAAAGAAGGACTCCCTGGAGAAGAGCCTAATGCTGGGAACAGTTGACGGCAAAAGAAGAAGGGGACAGCAGAGGATGAGGTGGCTAGATGGAGTCACTGAAGAAGTTGGTGTGAGCTTAAGTGGACTCTGAGGGATGGTGGAGGACAGGAAGGCCTGGAGGAATGTTGTCCATGGGGTCACGATGGATTGAATGTGACTTCACAACTAGCAGCAACAATTATCTATGTACCTGTGTATTATACTTCTAGAATAATTATAGACACATCAACTGGTCAAGCAGCCACAATAAAGGCAGTGCAGATAACACATCATCAGGATGA